TCCAAAGATTAGAGAATGCAAATTCCAAGTTCTGTGCAATAGGTCTACTAGCTCAATGCCCAGAAGCTACTTGGTTTGAAGTCTGAAGCAAATCAGTGGAAGATTTTATGTTGTTCAAGATGTCTCTCCTGCTGCTCTTTGGGCCTTTAAATAATGGCATAAGAGTCACACTTGTTCAGAGTTTGTAAGTTAATATCTTCCTGGAACACCCTTTAAGTTAACACATAAAATGTTTTATCACCTCTGCTACAAATGGGTGGAGATGGCATTCTTCTGAGCATGCCTGAGGTCCCACAAAGGTTCCTAATAATAAGTAATGATTGACTATGAAACATGTTAGGTTGTCAGACTGAAACTAACAGTAGAGATATATGTTATTGAAATTCAAATTATAATAATTCCATAATTTCTCACCAAAATGTTAAACAGCTATTAAAAGGCCACCAATTCTATCTACATACTGTTTGTTTTTATTTATGTTTTAATTATTTTAGGAAGTACCTTAAGTAGAATTTGTGTACATAGTTGCAAACTACTTTGTCATGATTTGTGTGAACAGTGTGACATTATGTCATACTAATAAAGAAAAGGAAGGATTTGGTGCACCTGAGTACAAACTCATTTATAGTTAATAGACTATAAATGACAAAATAATTAGTAAGATTCTTGTTGCTATAGTAAAATATGTTAAATCATTCTATAAAGGAAATCTTCATTTTGTGTCACAATTTCATAAAGACCAGTTCATGGTTACTTGTGTGACTTTCTATGATTAGTTATTTGTATGTGCTTCCATTTTCTAATGTGAAAATGTCAATGCTTAAATGAAGTCCCTCACATGATTGTTGATAACACATATTAATTAACAAATATTAAAAATTAAGCATACTTTTAGTACATGGTTAAAAATATTAATGGATATCAGCACGGTGATGTTTAACTGTATGGTCAAGCAACCTGTATGCTCATGTGTATGTGCATACATCATGTAGTTAAACCACTCTTGCACAAAATTTTTGATTCAACTTTAGTGAATATTAGTATAAGTATTATTATAAATGTGGAATCACGATAACCAAAGAAAATGGGAAATAATATTTATATATTGTATTTTGCTGTTAAAATTTTATATGTTAATATTTTACTCTATCAGTTATGGAGTACATTTAATTGGCATTTCAGGCAAAGACCTTCTTGTTTCTTGAATACATTGTTATCCTCAAATTGTTTATTCATTCATTAGTACTTGTTTATGAATGACTCATAGATCTGAGACACTGTGCTTGCCATTGAAGATCTTCCTGTAAGCCAAGTAATTACTCTTATACATTGGTAAATATAAAATACAATGAACACATATATTAAAATCCTTCCTTATATTAGAGATTCATTTGAGGATTTATTATGAATGACTGTCAACAAATAAGAACCATTGTCCCCTTCAAATGTGTGTATTTATCTTTCTATTCGATGAATACTTATTAGACTAGGCTAATTGAGAGTCATAGAGCTACTCAGTGGCTTAGAAAGGAGCACTGGAATGGGGTGAGATATCAAGTCAAAATCCTGAGGATCCTAGAAATGGGGCAGGAACTGCCTGTAAATAATCACAAAGTAAAAGTTAGTAAAATGATATGCACTAGACCATAACCCAAGTCCTACGGGATTTCCAAAGGGGAGGAATGATGATCTAGAGACAGCAGAGGGCATAACTGGTGTCTTAGCAAGTATAAAGGCACATGTTTGCAATCAATGTATTTTTCAAACTCATTTTGCAATACAAAATTTACATTAGTTTGTAAATATCTTTTAAGTAGTATCATTTTATCAAATTATAATGATAAGGATGCATATTCTTTATTTCATTAAGACCTTTACATTAAGAATATTATAACATCTGTAATATTCTTGTGACAAAGAATAAGGTATGAATAGATTACATGTGTAAATTAAAGTACAATAGTAGCCTAAAGGAAAAGGCCATCAATGGTTACATTATACATTTTTTATTGTCCATCATAATCTACATGAAAGAATAACACATGATAACCCATTGATACCTTTTATTTGAGTAGGTGTCCAATGTTTTCTAAAATAAAAACAAACTAATAAGTTTCAAATGATAATACATGCCAGCAAGGAAAATTTTGAACTTCATACTTAAAATGAGCGTTTAGAAACTCTTACCTGACATTGAATCCTGTTAGATTCATGGCTTTAGCAATTTTTTGTTGATACCATCAGAATGTGATCTTATGGGAATGTGTCAGGAAATATATCAAAATTGAATATGTTAGGAAATATATCAAAATGAATATTTACTAAATTGTCAATATATTCTTATCAAATAATGTACGTGTTAAATGTGTATTCACAACAGTTTAAATAGTGGATGCTATTGAGCTACAGAATAGAAAGCATATGTGCCTGGTTTCAGAAGCCACAATGCAACCAATCATGACCATGAAACAATTTTTGAAAATATATCAAAGAATACGCCCCAACTATATGCAAAAGTCATTAAATGTTATTCTCTTTTTATGTTTCCATCTTTAAGCATAAGTTTAATTAGTTCTCAGTATATTGCAACCAATTTTTGTAACATATTAAAACTCAAATTTTCTTTTCTTATATCATGTATCAAAGAAATTGTAAAGTAGTGTCAGTATTCTTACCCATTTAAAACAATATGTTACTTATTACCAGCACCTTAGTTCCTCTTAGGCTTCCCCAATCATCTCTTTCCAAATTTTATATTTTTTGAATAATGTATTGAATCTAATCTGTGCCATCTGTATCCATACATGGGTTGGGAGCTATCCACTGTGGTCACACAAAGAATTTGACACCCTGACTCATAAGCTGTCATCAAGTGACAATATCTCTTCAGCTAGGGGTGAAACCTAAGCAAATCTCCTCCCATCCATGATGAAATTTGTGACTAGTTTGATCTTGTGCAGAACTTGTGAAGGTAATCACAAATGCTATGAGTTCACGTATGCAACATTAATGTCCTGTCTAACAAGTAGCATTTCACAACACATCTCCTCAAGCTCCACCTGTATAATCTGTCTGTACCCTCTTCCGCAATCTTCCCTGCCCCTTGAGTTTAGGGGGGAGTGCTTGGTATAAATGTTGTTCCTATGTCTGAGTGCTCACATTCACTTATTTTCAGCACTTTGAGCAGCTATGAGTCTCTGCATGAAGCATGAGAAATTGGCAAAAGAAGTTTCTCTGTAGAATGTTGAAAGCAGCACAAATCCATGTTTACAAACATAAATATTTAGAAAGCATATTGACAACAAGACTATTTAGAAAAAATAATAGCACACACTCTGCTGGCTAGCTTTAATAGCACTACATGATGTACGCTGGCATATAGTAGAGAAAAAGGCATTGTAGTTCTTACCCAGTGCTGGACCCTACATGCTATAATCCTGGCCTGTCAGGCAAAGTATATCCACTGATGATGTAGTGGTATGATTTCTGGTTGAATCTGAGGCCTTCTCTACAGAAGGGAGTTTATTCCTGGTTCTATAAACCTGGTAATAAACTCATGGTGTGTGAGGTCACAGGACCTAGGGTGGAATCTATTGTTCTTACTATTTTAACTGTAGTTACTGTCCATAAACATATGGATATATCCTAATATACAGTGTGTTTATTATTGCCAGTTTAAATAAAGAAAAATGTCTTAGAGAAACATCTTAGGCTTTAATTTATAATTGATTCATTCCACATAACCAGAAATTCCTTCAGGTATTTGCACTGTAATGGATTTATCCCTTTTCTACTGTGAAAATAGAGCTTTGTTGATAGTTTTGCCATTATTACTTGGCAAGAAGTTGATATCATTTATAGGGGTTCAGGAGTGGTACTGCAAGGCCGGTGATGTTTTCATCCTGTGTAATAGCTGGCTTTAAGATGTCTTAAGTGTCTCAATTTAAGACAACCTAGATTCACCTGGAAAGACAGTCCCAGTAAGGGATTGTCTATACTGAGCTGGCCTATTAGCATGCCTGTGGGGGAACTGACTTAGTTAAACTAATTGGAATATGAGAGTGGAGACACTGAGCTAAGCATAGACAAGCAAGCATGGAAGCATGCATGAATTAATTTATCTCTACATTGTATATGGATGATTTGTCACTAGCTGTTTTAAATTAATGCTTCATTGACTTCCCTGGTAACATGGAATATTAACTTAATTTTAAACTGAAATAAACATTTTCTCCTCCAAGCTGCTGTTTTCTATGTATGTTTTCATGGCAACTAAAATGAAACTAGGCCCTGATTTTGAAGTTCTGTGAGAATGTGCACTTCTAAACTTTCCCAGAGGCACTTCATGGTCCCAAACACTACAGAATGTCAACCTATCCCACATGGCAGAATCTGCACTGCTCCTCACATCCTCTCTTTAGCTTCACCTTACCTACACAGGCAGACAGCCTTTGTCTCACAGTACCCAGGCTTACTCCAAATATGTCAGGTTCCCATATAGGGATGCTGTTCTTCAGTCATGTGCCTATCATGGTGCACTGATTCTTTCGTACAGCTACTAGCTTCAACCTGACATTCACCCAGGTTCTTTATTATTCTTAGAGGACTTGCTTAATTCAGGAAAACTCTAAAAATGTTTCTAGTATGCAGTGAACATCTATCTAGACCTCCTTCTGTAAACTTTGAACCCTTTGTGAATCCCCCCGTGGGGACTCTGCTTTAGTCCTGCTGAATGTTTTTCCTCAGAGTTACTGCTTGGGATCATTTGGAAATATTTATTTACCTTAAATTCTATCTACTTAAAATTTTGTGTGATTCCTGACTTCTGAATGCACTTAGAAATCTCAAAAAATTTCTGCATCAGCATGAAGCAGAAGTTTGAATGTTATTGGCCCCTATAGGCTCATAGGGAGTGTCACTATTAGGCAGTGTGCCCTTGTTGAAGAAGGTGTGGCCTTGTTGGAAGCAGTGTGTCTCAGTTCACCTCTTCCTTTCTGCAGATCAAGATGTATAACTCTCCATGACTTCTTCAACAGTATGTCTGTCTGTGCACTGGTACATTTCTCACCATGAGGATAATGGACTAAACTTCTGAAACTGTAAGTAAGCCCCAATTAAATGTTTTCGTTTATAACAGTTTCTGAGGTCATGGTGTCTCTTCATACCACTGGAAACCCTAAGACAATTCTAAGGCCAAAAAATTAGAGAGTGATTGTAGACACAGGAAATGATGACCACTACAAAGTAACACTGGGTCAACATATCATCTGAATCCCTACCCTACAATAAATCCACCCCATCCAATAAAGGCCTGAAGAATCAAATGTTCTCTAACAAACTGGGTGGGGAGAGAAATCCCCTTTTGGTTTGTGGGTTTTAGACATCTCTTCATTTTATTTTTGTGGTATTGTTTAATAAAACGTGCAAGGATTGTGGAAGATTGTAAAAAGAGGTGCTTATTATTATTATTATTATTATTATTATTATTATTATTATTACTATTGCCTTCAGTCTAGCACACACAGTTAGTGGTTCAGAATCTGACCACACTGTTAGAGTTCCTCTTTGACCAGACCATCTATATAATTGTAATGACATCTGAACTGGTGACTAGTTCTGCTGGTCCTAAAGAAAAATACATGTGTGGAAGGCTAATTCATCTTATGGAGCTGCTAAGATAGTAAAATAATGTCATTCCTCCACTAAAATCTACCATTTCTGGCAAAGGTAAAAAGCCAGATTGTCACAAGATTTGTCTGAACGATCTGCCTTCATTGCATCTATTTCAGCATCATTTGGTACTTCACTGTGACACCATCTGTTCCAGCAAACTGGCCTCCTTGAAAACAAGAGGTATGATATATGTCACTGTGCTAACATTGGATGGCTAAGTGCATTTAATTTTTATTAAATAATTGCATTATATTTACTGTTACAAATATATTCAATAACAATTCTTGAAAAGCACTAATTAATGAATAAGTATCTTTTTTTTTTTTGTGAGAGTAACAACAGTGTGAGCTGAAATGGCCAGAGAAAGTGAGATTGCTGCTAAAACCGAGCTTTCTCTCAAATTAATCCTAATCCTTGCATCTATCTCACAGTATGAACATTTGCTTGGAAAGATGCTAGAACTCATTCCACTTTAAAATGATATTCCCTGCCAGAATTAAACCACAAATGTGAACTCAGGAATGAAGTCATGCATCAAATTAATTAAGCTCATATATATATATATATATATATATATATATATATATCTATATGTGCTGATGCTGTTGTAAGTGAAAAGGAGAAGATATGGTAGCTTTCAGTTGTTTATAGAACAACATAAAATATAGTTGCAGAAAAAAATGAGGGGCCTCTGGTAGAAGATCAGTATTTATTCCTGGTGTAAGAAAGGACTCTGTGAGCCCATTCCACATGGAGGGATGCTCTCTCAGCCTGGACACATGGGGGAGGGCCTAGGCTCTGCCCAGGATGATATGACAGACTTTGGGGATCCCCCATGGAGGGGCTTACCCACCCTGGGGAGCAGAGGGTGGATGGGCTGGGAGACTTGTGGGGGTGGAGAGTAGGAGAGGAAGAGGGAGAAGGAATTGACATGTGAAGCAGGCTTGATTCTAATTTGAACTAATAATAATAATAATAATAATAATAATAGAAGTTGGAAAAATTCCACACTAGTGGAATTAACAGACCAAATGAAAGCACTAGAACATAAAGAAGCAAATTCACTCAGAAGGAGTAGATGGAAGGAAATAGTCAAATTGAGGGCTGAAATCAATAAAATAGAAACAAAGAAATCATTATAAAGTATCAATACTATACAGTATTGGTGCTTCTAGAAATTCAGCAAAGTAGACAAACCTTTAGCCACACTAACCAAAAGGCAGAGAGAGAATATTCAAATTAAGAAAATCAGAAAGGAAAGGGGGGGCATAACAACAGACACCGAGAAATCATCAGGTTATACTAAAAAACCAATACTCTACAAAATTGGAAAACTGTTAGGAGACAGACAATTTTCTAAATAAGTACTACATAACAAAGTTGAATCAAGAGCAGATAAACAACTTAAATATAGTTATAACTCCCTACGGAAATAGAAAGAGTTATCAATAATCTTCCAACTCCAGAAAGCCCAGGCCATAGAATTCTACCAGATGTTCTAAGGAGAACTTATACCAATACTCTTCAAATTATTCCACACAATGGAAGTAGAAGTAACATTGCCAAAGTATTTTCACAAACCACACAACAACTAAGAAAGGGAATTATAAACCAATTTCCCTCATGAACACAGATACAAAAATATTCAATAAAATACTGGCAAACTGGATCCAAGAACACATCAGAAAAATCATCGACCATGACAAATTAGGCTTCATCCCAGATTTTCAGGGATTGTTCAACACAGTGATGTTGTAATGTCAATGTAATCCACCATATAAACAAATTGAAAGAAAAAAAAAACCATGATCTTCTCATGTATTAGATCCTGAAAAATCCTTTGACAAAATTCAATAGCCATTCATGATAAAGGTCTTGGAGAAAATAGAAATAAAAGGAGTACATCTAAACATAAGAAAAGCAATATACAGTAACTTAACAGCCAACATCAAAATAAATGGAGAGAAACTCAAATTGATCCCATTGAAATCAGGAACAAGAAAAGGCTGTCCAATCTCTCCATATCTAATCAATATAGTACTTCAAGATCTAGCTAGAAAAATAAGACAACAAAAGGAGATCAAGGGGCCACAAGTTGGAAAAGAAGTCAAACTCTCTCTATTTGCTAATGATATGATAGTTTACATATGCCACTCAAAGTTCTACCAGGACACTCTAATATAGCAGGATGCAAGATTAACACACACACACATACACACACACACACACACACACACACACACACACACACACACACAAACACAAAATAAGTAGCCCTCCTATATATAGATTATAAACAGACTGAGAAAGAAATCAGAGAAACATACCCTATAAAATAGCTAGAAATAGCATAAAATATCTTGGGGTAACTCTTATGAAACAATAAAAGTACTGTATGATAAGAGTTTTTAGTCTTTAAAGACAGAAATTAAAGAAGATATCAGAAAATAGAAATATCCCCCATGATCTTGGATAGGTAAGATCAACATAGTTAAAATGGAAATCCTATCAAAAGTAATCTAAAGATCCAATGCAATCCCCATCAAAATCTCAGCATGATTCTTCACACACCTGAAAAGAATGATACCCAAGTTCATACAGAAAAACAACAACAACAAAAAATCAGGATAGCCAAAATTACACTGTACAATAAATGTTCATCTGGGGACCTCACCATCCCTGAATTCAAACTTTATTATAAAGCTATAGTAATGAAAACATCTTGATATTGACATAAACATAGACAGATGGACCAATAGAATAGAATCAAAGACCCTGATATAAATCCACACATCTATGAACACCCAACGTTTGACAAAGAACCTAAGCATATAAAATAGAATAAAGAAAACATATTCAACAAATGGTACTGCTATAACTGGGCTGTCTACATGTGGAAGAATGTAAATAGATCCATATCTATAGCCATGCACAAAACTCAAGTCCAAATGGATCAAACACCTCAATATAAACACATCCACATTAAACATCATAGAATAGACAGTGGGAAATAGATTTGAACACATAGGCACAAAAGACCACTTACTAAATCGAACACCAGTAGCACAGAAACTGAGAGCAACCATTAATAAATGGGTCCTCCTGAAATTGAGAAGCTTCTGTTAAGCAAAGAATATGGTCAACAAGACAAACAGCTCCCTATAGAATAGGAAAAGGTCTTTATTAACCCCACATCTGACAGAGGACTGATCTCCAAAATATACCAGGAACTCAAGAAACTAGACATCAAACTGCAAACCAAAAAACAGGATATCTCCAGAAAGGTCTTGACCCTTTTTCTCATCCCCACTCCCACTCTACAGATTGATTCCAGGGCTTAGCTGTGGGTATCTGCTTCTACTTCCACCAGCTACTCAATGAAGGCTCTAGGATGGCATTTAAGGTAGTCATCAATCTCATTATAGGTGAAGGGCACTTAAAGTAACCTCTCCACTGCTGCTTAGATATTTATTTGGGATTATCCTTGTAGATCTCTGAACATTCTGTAGTGCCAGATTTCTCTTTAAACCTATAATGGCTCCCTCTATTAAGGTATCTCTTTAATTGCTCTCCTCTATTCTTCTCCCAATTCAGTCTTCTTCATGTTCTCCTGCCCCATCCTCTTCTCCTTTTCTCTTTTTTCCTACCTCCTTCTCCCCTTACCCCATGCTCCCAATTTGTGCAGGAATTCTTGTCTCTTTCCCCTTCTCTAGGGGACCATTTATGTCTCTCTTAGGGTCTTCCTTGTTTCCTAGCTTCTCTGGAGGTGTGGATTGTAGGTTGGTAATTCTTTCCTCTTTGTCTAATATCCATACATGAGTGAGTACATACCATGCTTCTCTTTCTGTGACTGGGTTACCTCATTTGGGCTAGTTTCTTCCAGTTGCATCCATTTGCTTGCCAAACCACAGAGACAGGTTACCTGACCAAATAAGAGCAAAAGGACCCCAATTGTAAATCTGGTGAACCAGCATTGGACCAAACCAAGCCCTCTGAATGTGGGTGCCAGATAGAGGCCTGGGCAGACTATGGGACCTCTGGCAGTAGAACCAGTATTTATCCCTAGTTCACAAATGGACTTTGGGAGCCCATTCCCCATGGAGGGATACTCTTTCAGTCTAGATACATGGAGGAGGGCATAGGCCCTCCCCCAAATGATGTGACAGACTTTGATGATCCCAAATGGAAGGCCTCACCCTCCTTGGGGAGAGTGAGTACAAGGTTGTGTTGGAAAGTCAGTGGGGGGGATTGGGAGGCTGGGAGGGAGAGGGAACTGGGATTGACCTGTAAAATAAGACTGTTTCTAAATTAAATAAATACATCTTTAAAAAGCCACTTAAGAAAAAAAAATTAAAAAGAAAACAGGATAGATATCTAAAAAGAAAATTCTTATCAGAACAAGCTTAAATGGCCGAAAGACACGGAAATGTTCAACATCCTTACTCATGGGGAAGTGCAAATCAGAACAACTCTGATTTACCACCTTACACCTGACAAAATGGCTAAGATCGAAAACACCAATGATAGCTTATGCTGTACAGGATGTGGTGTAACAGGAACACTCCACAATTGCTGGTCATAGGGCAAACTTCTCCAGCTGCTATGGAAATCAGTATGGCAATTTCTCTGGAAATTTGGAATCAACTTACCTCAAGACCCTGTAGTATCACTTTTGGACATGTATCCAAAGGAGGCAGCTCACAGCACAAGAATATTTGCTCAGCTATGTTCATAGCAACATTATTTGTAATATTCAGAACTGGGAAAACAACCTAGATGCCACTCCATGGAAGAATGGATAAAGAAAATGTGGTATAATCACACAGCGGAGTACTACTTCCTGGTAAGAAACAATGACTTCATAAAATTCACCGGCAAATAGATGAAACTAGAAGAAACCAATCTGAGTGAGGTAACCAAGCCCCAGAAAGACAAATATAGTATGTACTCACTCATGAATGGATATTAGACATAAAGCAAAATATACCCAGCCTATAATCCACAACTCCAGAGAAGCTAGAACACTCTTCCAGAAACATTGAGGCAGATGCAGAAATTCACAACTAACCATTAGACTGAGCTCCTAGAGTGAAATCAAAGTGAAGGATGAATGATAATATGAACAAAGAAGTCAAAATCATAAAGAGGAAAACCACAGAATCAGTTGACCTGAGCTAGTG